TTGTCTTTTATTGTGATTTTTAGTAATGTGTTTTTATGTGATTGTAGTATTTATTACATGTACAGCACTTTGGCCCGACCAAAAATCGCTTTTAAATGTGCTTTATAAATAAACCTTGATTTGATTTGATCGTGGCTTAAGTATCGCGATAGCATCGTATCGTGGGGATCCTGGTGATTCCCTTCTGTATAGTATAGTATAGTATATATGAGTATAGTATAGTATAGTATAGTATATATGAGTATAGTATAGTATAGTATAGTATATATGAGTATAGTATAGTATAGTATAGTATAGTATATATGAGTATAGTATAGTATAGTATATCTAGTATAGTATAGTATAGTATAGTATAGTATATGGTATAGTATAGTATAGTATAGTAGTATAGTATAGTATAGTATAGTATAGTATAGTATAGTATAGTATAGTATAGTATAGTATAGTATAGTATAGTATATATTATGAGTATAGTATAGTATAGTATAGTATAGTATATATGAGTATAGTATAGTATAGTATAGTATATATGAGTATAGTATAGTATAGTATAGTATAGTATATATGAGTATAGTATAGTATAGTATAGTATAGTATATATGAGTATAGTATAGTATAGTATATATGTGAACTTCCTCAGCTAGTCCCAGAGCTTTCAGACGAACAAAGTGAGTGGTTAAATATCTTGTTTCTCAGAAGGTGAACAGGTGTGTTTGGGGGAAACTACAGCTTCTACAGGTTGTAAATACTTTAAACACATCATAAAGTGTCTCTGCTGGGACATGTCTCCATGCTTTCATGTTCAAAAAGCTCTTTATTTTTCTCATACTGCCTGTGCTTTCACCCTCTGTCTCAAACCAGAGCCCAGTCTGCTCTGATTGGTTAGCTGGCTGGCTCTGTTGTGATTGGTTTACCCTGCTTAGAGATGTCCCGCCCCTTAGCCTATCACGTACAATGTGTTGAAGCGCTAGCCAATAGGAGCGCGAGTGTATTACAATGATTTCTCAATCCATTTTAGAGCTTGCTTGTTTATTTTTTCAGATTTGTTTTATTTATTATTGTTTGTAGCTTTTCATTACCTCTGATTGCTTCTACATTATCAGTAAGGAAATGAGTCCTCGTAGAAACACAATGGAGTCAGGGTGAGCATGGAGACGATAACACAGGAGGGAGCGGTGGATGGAGGGAAGAGGGATGAGTTGAAATCAGAAAGGAGGACAGGAGATATGAATGATCTTCTGATGATCTGTTAAAGGGAAGAGAGGATCCGTTAATAAGAGACACATTACATGGAGACGTGTCTGCAAATCACACGACAGATGGAGTTTAAATGTTATTAGAGACATGGGGATCGTGATGTAATGAATGGAGGACAACGGGAGAAAGTGCCGGACGAGAGAGAGAAGTCAACATGTGAATGAATGGAGTTTCTGTGAGAGGACAACGGCCCGTTTCTTTCCTGAGGCAGGGCTCACATTGTTCAGACTCTCCTTAGAAAACAATGGAGCCAAACAGAACGGCCATTAGCATTTTGGGCAGAAACGCATGCACATAGGCATTTCATCTGAATATGGGAATACATGTTACTTTTAAAGAGGCCCTCTTCTGCTTCTTGGAGGTTTTCCCTTTCCTGTGTTATCAGATCAGAAGTACTTTATTGATCCAATTTGGGAAATGTTCTCGTTGCAGCAGCATAACCAGACAAGGCATTGTACATTTATATATATTATATATATATTTTTGTTTTTTTGTTTTTTTATCGACCATTTTTACTCCGTAGCACTTTGAGTTTTGTTTACTCAAATGAAAAGTGTGCTTATGAACAAAATGTATTATTATTATTATATAGGTTTTAGTGCATGTCAATGGTTTGCAAAGGCTAAAATCCGGAACATAGTGACATCACTACGGAACACTCCCACTCCTATTGGCTAGCGCTCCAACACATTGTCTGTGATAGGCTAAGGAGGCGGGACATCTTTAGAGGTTGACCAATCACAACTTCACATTTTCCAATACAGACATAACGACAACTAAATAAATACAGCAGAATAAGTCCTCTGATATCGCACAGACAGTAAACACTAATAAGGACTTAGGGTCTTTCACGGAATCTTTGGCCATCTTGGACGCCATCTGGAAAATTACACATTTATAGTGGTCTAATTTAGGTAGACTTTCAGTATGTTATTAAGGACACCTAATACAAAACTGTAAAGAAACCTTTCAGTTTTTTGCGGTAATGTGGTTTCTTATCATGTATGCAGCCGCCTATAAGGAGTGATAACAGTGTTCATTTACACTCTGCCTCTTCTTTTATTCAGCCCGTTACATACTGAACATTGTCTCTTATCTTTGCACCCCAGCCTCCTCCAGCCGGTCTGGACAACATGTTCCTGTTCATCGAGGAGGTGATGGACGTCTCCAGCCGTCTGCTCAGCCTGATGGACCAGAAACAGCCTGAAGACCCTCTGTACCTGCAGAGCCTCTGTAAGACACTCACACATACACACCTGAAGCATATCAGACCCTCTGTACCTGCAGAGCCTCTGTAAGATACTCACATATACACACCTGAAGCACATTCAGACCCTCTGTACCTGCAGAGCCTCTGTAAGACACTCACATATACACACCTGAAGCATATCAGACCCTCTGTACCTGCAGAGCCTCTGTAAGACACTCACATATACACACCTGAAGCATACTCAGACCCTCTGTAAGAACATCACTTTCTATCAATCTGAAGCACATTCAGACTAACACTGAAACACATGAGCACATACTACAGAACACATACAGACAGAAAATGAAAAATACGAACATTTATAAAAAGTCCGATTTTTTTCAAAAAAGTGATATTTCTGTTGTTCTTTGGAAATATGTAAAAAGTCAAGAATTAAAAAAAAAAAAAAGGTTTTATTTCCGAGAAGAAATTGAGAATTTCGAGAAAAAAAAACGAAACTTTGATAAAAAGTAAGATTTTCTTAATTTCCAATTTTTCGAAATTTGGAAAAAAGTCAGAATCTTTCCAAAAAAAGTTAGAATTTTTACAAAAAAAGTTAGAATTTTTACAAAAAAAAGTCAGAATCTTTAAAAGCAGTTAGAAATATGTAGTCAGATTTTTTTCATCAACAAACCCGACTTTCAGACAATCTTCATGCCCTTTTTTAAATGAAATAAAACCCTCTTTTTCAACCATGGGGAGCTGGCACTCTATGGAAGAATAAAAGCCTGGGTTCAACAGACGCTGTGTTGAAGCTTAAGAGGAAGACGACCCTTTATTAAAATGAACATAAACACATTTGATTTGAGTCTATATTCTTAAGTAGTATTTTCCATTTGTGGGTCCAGAAACCAAAAATAAATACTGACAATTAAACTAAATTTGAGGAAAACTAAACGTATTTTCCTTTCACATACAGTCCCAGATACTGTAGGTTGAGCTTATTGGGATGAGATATTTTCAGATTTGCATAGATAACTTGATTAAAAGAAGACAACAGCTAATTATAATGAACTGGCATTTTAAAGGTAACTTCTATTGGCATCCTTTATAAAAAACAAGAACTGAATTATATTTCCTCTTAATGATGTTTTTTGAATGTGTTTTAAAGTGAGTGTATGTCCCCTCTCTGCAGGTGAGTCGTTCCTCAGCCTGTCTGCAGACATCGAGGCGTCTTATAAAGAATACCTGTCCAACTACTCTAACGTCACGGTGCTGGAGAACAGCTACAAGCAGAAAGAGATGCTGTGGGACGACATCGTGAGAGTCATCAAGGCCTCGGCGTACGTTATCCTGATTTTGATACGGCTAGTTAGTCAAAGAAATCTCTGCTTTGTCTCAAAAGATGGATTTAAATTGATCGTATTGACTTTAAAATAATCGGATTGCTTCCACGGAGAAAAAATGGTCCTACGTATCTTTTAAATGACGGCAGGAATGATCGAGGTTTACTGTAACGCTCCAGCCCTCTGTCTTTAAAGCGCTTTGAGATCCAGGAGATTAAGTGTCTTCAAAAATGAATATCCCAAAACTACTCCGCAGTGTTTTCTGACGTAGAAAACACGTTTCTTAAATTGACCGGACTTCTTACCGCGGATTGATACGACTGCACATAGTCACAGAGTCAGAGCATCAGTCCTTAGCAATGGCGTGCTAGCAAAAAAAGATCCACATGGACCAATCAGAATCGAGTATTCATCCAAGCAGAGTAACGACTGCACCTCAAACATAAAACCTAAAAAAACCTAACATGTAAAAGTCCACAGTGTTTTCTGATGGATGAAAACGAATGTTAGTTGTCCACAGCTGACGTTAAATTACCCCGGACTTCTTTCTGCGGATTGATATGACTGCACATAGTCCAAATTAGAATGTCCAAATTGACCAATTAGCATCGAGTATTCAACTAAACTGATGGATATAAACTGATCTTTGATATCCATTTCTTCCTGTTTCCTCTCCTCTCTTCAGGCCGGAGGTGAACGCCACGTCTCTGACTTTCTTCCTGGTGATGCCGGTCCAGAGGATCGCCCGATACCCTCTGCTCCTGCAGACCATCCAGAAGCACACGGACAGACAGCACCCTGCGTACGCCCTGCTGGAGCACACCGCGCACACCTCCATCGCTCTCAACTGCCGCATCAACGAGTACAAGCGCTTCAGGGAAGTCGGTGAGAAATCTACTTTTTATTTCTTTTCTTTACATAATATAAGAAAGAGTATTCACTGTGGAGTAAAAGTGCCTTTATGTGTTACCTGTGACGTTACTAGATAATATCGTTGAATCGAGACGTTTCTTTTCTGTTGTGAAAACAAAGAATTTTTTTATAATTAACACACTAATTTGCCTTTTTTCACTTTTTTTTCCTTAAATTTTACCTCGTTTTTCATAATTTGACTTTTTCTTATATTTTGACTTTTTTCTCTGAATTTGACTTTTTTTCCATAATTTTGAATTTTTTCTTAGAATTTGACTTTTTACTGAGAATTTCACATTTCTTCCCAGAAAGTTGACTTTTTTTCCTTAATTTGACTTTTTTCCAGAATCTTTACTTTTTTCTTAGAATTTTACATTTGTCCAACATTTTGATTTTTTGCAGACATTTTACTGAGAATTTCACATTTTTTTCCCCAGAAATTTGAATTTTTCTCCTAATTTGACTTTTTACTGAGAATTTTATTTTTTTATCCGTTAAATAACACAATTTGTATCTCTTATACTTGAATTGTTGTGTTGCTGTGATTATAGAATCAGAATAGGTTAAGTGCTAAGTAGGTTAACACATACAGTACACACTGCTTTGGTCTATAACATAAACTCAGTATAAGTGAATAAGTTGTAAGACAAGGATACAAAATAGTAAGTGAACATTTATCAGAATACAGCATATTAGATTTTAATTTGGACGGCTGTGCAGATTTTATAAAGAGGTATTGTTATTTTATAGGATGCTTCTGCCTCTGTGCTCCACATGAACTCTCCTTGTTTCTGTTCGTGCAGCCGACAAATACAAGAAGACCGAGACTCTGAGCATGAAGGACAAGATGAACCGACTGAACACGCACAGCATCGCCAAGAAGACCGCCCGGCTGAGCCAGCAGATCAAACACGAGACGGGGATCAAACCCAAGGTACGAGAGAACATCAATATCTGCATGTTGGGAGCTTTGAGTGGACTTTTCACTTTCAACATGCTCTGAAATGGGCTATTGTGCATAATGGGTCTTTTTTACTTGTGATACTCTAAGTACATTTAGTCACATTTTGAATTCAGGACTTTTTCTACGTTTGCTGAAGTGAAATATCCAGGTACTTCTTCCACCTCTATTATGAATCACAGATGCAACACTTCCGTATTCCTCCGTCTGAAGAACTGTCGTCGGCCTCTGAGATAGATTCCTCAGATAGACACGTCTAGTTAATGATCAGTGTGTTTTCTGCACAGAGGATAGATTTATGAGCTTTTATTGAACCTGCTGTTTGCTCAGGCTGATACACTCAGGTTACTCTGGGTGACACTGATCTGATCATGAGTTCACGTCCATAAAACATCCTCTCTCATCTCCTCTGCTTTCACTTTCAACACAATTTCATCTGTTTTTCCTCCACCTTTTTGATCGTTTTACATTTCTCAGGCAACATGTGGGTTGAAACTGCATTGCATACATGTAGAAAGTAAAGGAATTACTCTTTAAAGCTCTGCAAAAACCCATTTTCTATGCAATCATAGAGATGTTTGCTATGTTTCTTGGTGCAACCAAAGCCTCAGAGGAGCTCTCTATAATGTGTGTTTATTGAAATGTGAAAGCAGTAGAGCTCAGACTGTAGAGCAGTGTGTCTAGAAACCGTTCTTTCTGAGTGGAAAGCAGTGTTTCCAGGGGCTCTCAGGTGATTCCATGTATGCTTCCTCCCTCTGTGCAGCTGGTGGACGAGGAGTTTGACGCTCTGGAAGGTTCCTTCTACGTTCTGGAGCACGGCATCCTGCAGCTGCTGGAGAACGTGGAGACCTACCTGCTGCACCTGAAGGTAACTATTAACACAGTATGCCTGCTCCACCTGCAGGTACGCTGTGTTTACAGTCTCTCTATATATTCATGAGAGGAAACAGCTGGTCCTACATCCCATCATTAAGACCCCATTTACACGGGAACGCAAATGCAAACGAACCGAATACGATATCAAAAAAGTCTTCCGTCCACACGAGACCGCTCGAAAGCGCTGGCGATGCTGTAGTACATATGCCGGGCCTGTAAGTGGCGCTGTACTTCCGCCACAAAATACACCACAAGCAGCGAAGAAGACCCCCAAGCATGGTTGCCCGGTTGCCCTTCTGTTTATTCTCTGCGGTGGATTTAGCAACATGTTGTTCATGTAATTCTCCTTGTAATTCTCTCTTTTTTTTTTTTGTTATAAATTCTAACTTTTTCTCAAAATTCTAACTTTTTCAAATAAATTCAGAGATAAGGAAAAAATCTGAAATCTGATTTATTTCTCAACGTTTTGACTTTTTCAGTAAAAAAAACTCAAAATAAATTCAGAAATATGAATTGTTGTCAAAATAATAACCTTTTCAGAAAAAATCTAACTTAAGGAATTAAAATTCAGAAATGTGACTTTTCTCTCAAAATCATGGTGGAGGCATGGGAGTGGTTTCAACTTGAACCCTGGATTGGGAGGTGGGGGAGGAGGGCAGATTTAAAGGTGTGACGCTGCGCTGTGATTGGCTCGTGGGAAGAGAGACGAAGGTGATGGGAGTGACACCCCCCGATCACTGATTGAGGGCTGCCGTGTCTTTGGCTTTGTATTTTTGTATTTTATTATATATGTTTATTGTTGGACGAGCTCAGGTCAGAAGAATGTCATTGCCATTTCTAGCCTGTAGCTGCTGAGCATCTGATGATAACACCTTTGAATCTTGATTGGAGGGGAGAGAGTGGCGAGATGGAAATATGTGAATGACGGATATAAAGACGCTCTTCCTGGTTGAACTAAAGCTTCATTTATTTCTGAGCCATGTTTCTCTGAGTCTCTCAGTGTGTAAACTCTGCGGTCCAGACAGAGGTTTCTGTGTGTCGCTCCACACTGACATTATCCCCGTTTAAATCTGTTTTTCCTCTTTCCATTTCCAAACATCAACATTATCCCCTCTGATCGCCCTCAGCTTTGCACGCTCTTATGTCCTACTTGTGTTGCCAGCTTTATCAACCTTTACTCGCCAAATAAGCAGTTTTCAAGCTTTTTAATGAACATTTAATAAGTAATCACACGTTATAAGATGAGAAACTAGCCATTTAGATTACCAATAAGTGATTAGTTTATCCAAATAACTGCTTAGCTGCTGCTGTGTGAGTGTAGTCTGTGAAGAGCTTTGAGGGGTCGAGGAGACCTGATGGAGAGATTTATAAGAACAGAACATTTAGCATTACTTAAAATCAGACATCAGGGTCTAACAGCTTCTTCTTCTTCGTTGGTTTTCAGGGCTTCCTGTCCTGCAGGACGGAGGACTTTGATCTGGATCTGGACGGAGAGAAAGCTCCGATCTGCTACAAGGAGATCTCCACGGCTCTCAGGCAGTGGATCCTCCCCACCTTCGTGAGTATTTCAATACTCTAACTAATGCCATAGTAGAGAAATAATGAAATAAAAGGACATTTGATGTGTGTTTGATATTTTTAGTGTACTTCAATACACCTCTTTATGAAGAATACACACCCTAATAGTCTGACATAATACCTATACAACATATAAGATTAAAACTAGCATATGAAAATGTCAAAATACAAGCTGACATGCATTTAAAAAATCATTTTACTTTGACTTCTTACATTTTGAACACAAATACCTGTACTTTCTACTTCTTACATTTTGAACACAAATACCTGTACTTTCTACTTCTTACATGTTGAACACAAATACCTGTACTTTCTACTTCTTACATTTTGAACCCAAATACCTGTACTTTCTACTTCTTACATGTTGAACACAAATACCTGTACTTTCTACTTCTTACATGTTGAACACAAATACCTGTACTTTCTACTTCTTACATGTTGAACACAAATACCTGTACTTTCTACTTCTTACATTTTGAACACAAATACCTGTACTTTCTACTTCTTACATGTTGAACACAAATACCTGTACTTTCTACTTCTTACATGTTGAACACAAATACCTGTACTTTCTACTTCTTACATTTTGAACCCAAATACCTGTACTTTTCTACTTCTTACATGTTGAACCCAAATACCTGTACTTTCTACTTCTCACATTTCCCAAACAGGCTGGTTCCTTTAGTTTGAATGTGTGTTTGGTGGCGTGATCATTATTATTTAGAGTCATTGCGTGCCTATTGATTTGAACACGATCCGTGTATCCATCATTTCCTGGTCTTCTCTAAAGAAGAGGGACCAATGAAAACGTTGTCATGTTGCCGTTGTTCAGCATGGAAACATTCATTAGCTAACAATGACATTATTGTTCTATTAATATAAAGGGAGGTCAGGTACTCTTTAAAACAGCTGCTAGTTATGGGTACTTTTTACTGAAGTACATTTCAAAGCCCTCTTTACTTTGACTTGAGTAAAGAAGTTTAGTCAGTACTTCTACTTTCACCAGAGTATTTTTAAACACGAGTATCTGTACTTCTACTTGAGGAAAGGATGTGTGTACTTCTGATGATGAGCGTTACTCTCATATATGTCCCTTCAGGAGAAGAGGATGAGGAAGATGATCCTCGCGCCCCTCCTCTCTCTGAAGGACCTCCTGCTGGGCCCCAGGAACCTGATCAGGAAACGTCTCGACAAACTGCTGGACTACGAGATGATCGAGACCAAAACCACGCTGAGCTACGAGGAGCAGGGGGTCGTCAACACATACAGGTAGTTTAAGTTTAAGTACGGATAGAAAGAAATTGATAAATGTAAAAAATATGGTTTTATAAAGTTGATCCAACTCTGAAAAGCAATATCTTTGTCCCTAACCCCTCGCTGCTTCTCTCTTGCCCCTTTCACACCAACGCGGTTCCCGTTCTAGCTCCGTGCTAGAGCTTTTCTGGTTCGGAACCGGTTTTCATTTTCAGCTCCCGCTCTGTTCACACCGCCCAGAGCCCGACTGGTGCTGCCGCTGCTGCGTCATGATGTCACCGTTTACATCGCTGATTTTCTCCCCAACGGAGCTCACCTCACAACAACAACGGGCCGGGGACTGCGTCGGGTCGATGATCGTGTTGCTTTTAATCATACGAAGCCAGATTAAATTAAATAACGACTTCTCCAACCTTATACTTTTCTCCAGAGTGCCGTGGTTCATTGTTTATTAATGTGTGTCAGCGGCATTTAGCGACCGCTGCAGTGCTGGCTGCTCTTCCACGGGAGTGTATTCTCCCGTTAGCTCCGGGTTAGCTCACACGGCTCTAAAGTATTCACTGTCTGACTGTCACACAAGCAGCTGATACATATCCCCAGTTCCCCTTAAGTGAATGTGTGTCAGTCTGAATTGACGCTGTTTGGCATCACAACGCTGTTATGAAAGTTTCTCTGGTATAACATGGGTGATGTTAGCATAGCAACCGAAGCTAAACTGACTACATGCTAAGCCGTTTTCTACAGGCACATTTTACCGGCGTATTTTTCATTGTGATTCTACTTGTGATAGTCGGACATGACAACCTGTGCAGCCCATGTATTGATTCCATCCGATAGCTGCTATAATAACAAACAAAACGTCTGCCTGCTCTCCACAATGATCAATAACAGCGAACGGATGGTCAAAGTAAGGTACAAATAAACAGAATCACACGAAGCCTGGTTAGTGTTGCCTGACTTTATAAAGCGTGTTTTTTTTTTACAAGTGTGTGGTTGCGTTCTAGTCACTTTGCTCAGCACTACTGCTGGTTACAACTTTTATTTGCCGTACTCGCCTTTAACTGTTAGCTCAGGTTAATCTTGCCCCCCTCCGACGTAAGCGTGACGTATGCGGTTCTTGCTTCTAGACCGACAATTTTTTGGTGCTTGAAACGAACCGGATTCCGGAGCTATGACGCTGCTCCGCTGCGGGGTGAACAGGAAAAACCGGTGCTTTTCAGGCTCTAGCTCCGAACCGGCGCTGGGACCGCGTTGGTGTGAAAGCCTCATCAAAGAGGATAAACGTTATTTCTAAAACATAGTTATCTTCTGTCGTGGCGTTTTAATCAGTTTCTACATTTAATGTCCACTCTCCTCTATCAGGGTTGTGGGTTATGTCGCGCCTCTCTTTGTTTCCAAACTAACTTTGCAGAGATCGTTGTATCGTTGAATCACATCAGATGTATTCTTTGATCAAGGCGGCATACAAACATGAAGACAAACGTCCTCGCTTCAAAGTAACTTCAAGTTCTCCGTATCAAAACAGAACAAAAAGAACACGGTCAGAAGACTCTACCGCTTCCCGTCTAATCACAAACTCAGCTGTGAACCATGTTCCTGCCATATATAGGCATATAGACATGCACGGCATACCTGACAACAAACAAGTGAGGCTTAAATTAACATCTTTTAAACCGTAGTGCGACTCACGAAAACAAATAGTTAAGAGTTTACTCTAAAGCCTTATATTATTAAGCAACACATTCAATCCATAATGATGAAAGGAAAAAGGCTCTAATGGCGCGTTTCCACTACAGCACGGAGCACGGTTTAAGAGGGCTGTGACGTCAGCGGCCCGTTTTTGGTTGCGTTTCCACTTGGCCTAGTACCGGCCGGCGGGTCCTAATTCACAGTTTTTCTGGCCTCATAAAATCGTGGGTCTAGGGCCAGAGACAACGAGGCTGAGTCGGGCTGAGTATGCTAAACTAGAGAGAGGATCGCTGGCAAGGGGGCTACAACTACAACAAGATGGACATATTTGACCGTGATTTAATTGTAATACACGTTTCAAAATGATGCCGAAGTAACAACATACTGATACCAGTTAGTAAAAACCATGAATTAATGCTTTGTCAAGTCTGCAGACAGACGGGAGGCGAAAAACCTTTTAAAATGCTTGTTTTCTAAATGGAGATTGGCTAAGCTAACGCAGTATATGCTCCGACCGTCCACACTCACAACAACGGCCTATACAGACATAAATAAAGCAGCGACTGTATTCACCATGACACAGGCAGTCTGTGGTTTGTACTTGTTTAACTTTTGTCTAGTTTCTGAACATATATGAGGAGCTGTGAGCTCTGAGTGCTAACAGCTAACGGCTGTGTTGTTTTTCTGGGGTCCTCTGAAGATGACGTCACGGCTCCGCCTACACTGCGTTACTATAGATACTGCCCCAGTTCCTAAACTGTAATGGAAATGCGCCATAAAGTGAGCCAGTCCTAACGAGGCCTAGCCATACCGAGCCAGGCCGTGTAGTGGAAATGCGCCATAACACCACCCTCCCTGTCTCTGCCCAGGACGATGAACACCCTGCTGCTCTCTGAACTGCCTCAGCTCAACAGCCTGGCTCTGCAGCTGATCTGGAGTCTGCTGGGGTCGTTCAGCTGCGTTCAGAAAGACCTGGCCTCTGACATGGAGACGCTGTTCCTCAGCTTCGCTCAGCAGGTAACTATTTAAAATACTTTATTCATAAGGGTTGCAACAGATTCAAGAACTATCAACATACTACTAATAATAAAACGGTGCACTAATAGTGGAGTGAAAGAGCAAATTAAACAACAGCAACAAAGAAGCTGTACGGTGAGGAGCTCTTTGTTTACCTCACTGTCTTCCTGTCCAGTTATTCTCTATTTAAAAGTCACCTTTTCAGAAACAAGGCATTGAGGGTCGTAACATTTTCTTTAAAATGTTATACATAACAAATTACAAAAATATTCAAGTTTTTTTTAATCCGAAATATCTTTTTTCCCTATATTTATACTTTTTCACAGTGGATAGCAAAAGTATTTACAAAACAAAAAGTATTTACATCTGACGTGAATACTTACGAATACTTAAACATAATACAGGAAAGCTTAGCTTATATACAGTTTTACATACATTTTTAAATAGAATAGAATGGGAGGGATGAAACCCTCTCTAATGGTCTCACATGCAGAGCACACAGTGACATGTGTTCTCTTTTAACCCATCCTAGAACCAGGAGTCTAGTACCAGGAGTCTAGTACCAGGAGTCTAGTACCAGGAGTCTAGTACCAGGAGTCTAGTACCAGGAGTCTAGCACCAGGAGTCTAGCACCAGGAGTCTAGCACCAGGAGTCTAGTACCAGGAGTCTAGCACCAGGAGTCTAGTACTAGGAGTCTAGTACTAGACTCCTGGTACTAGACTCCTAGCACCAGGAGTCTAGTACTAGGAGTCTAGTACCAGGAGTCTAGTACCAGGAGTCTAGTACCAGGAGTCTAGTACTAGGAGTCTAGTACCAGGAGTCTAGTACTAGGAGTCTAGTACCAGGAGTCTAGTACTAGGAGTCTAGTACCAGGAGTCTAGGAGTCTAGTACCAGGAGTCTAGTACTAGGAGTCTAGTACCAGGAGTCTAGGAGTCTAGTACCAGGAGTCTAGGAGTCTAGTACCAGGAGTCTAGTACTAGGAGTCTAGTACCAGGAGTCTAGGAGTCTAGTACCAGGAGTCTAGTACTAGGAGTCTAGTACCAGGAGTCTAGTACCAGGAGTCTAGTACTAGGAGTCTAGTACCAGGAGTCTAGTACTAGGAGTCTAGTACCAGGAATCTAGGAGTCTAGTACTAGGAGTCTAGTACCAGGAATCTAGGAGTCTAGTACTAGGAGTCTAGTACCAGGAATCTAGGAGTCTAGTACCAGGAGTCTAGTACCAGGAGTCTAGTACTAGGAGTCTAGTACCAGGAGTCTAGGAGTCTAGTACCAGGAGTCTAGGAGTCTAGTACCAGGAGTCTAGTACTCGGAGTCTAGTACCAGGAGTCTAGTACTAGGAGTCTAGTACCAGAGAGTCTAGTACTAGGAGTCTAGTACCAGGAGTCTAGTACCAGGAGTCTAGTACAGGAGTCTAGTACCAGGAGTCTAGTACTAGGAGTCTAGTACCAGGTCTAGTACTAGGAGTCTAGTACCAGGAGTCTTAAGTAGTACTAGGAGTCTAGTACCAGGAGTCTAGTACTAGGAGTCTAGTACCAGGAATCTAGGAGTCTAGTACCAGGAGTCTAGTACCAGGAGTCTAGTACTAGGAGTCTAGTACCAGGAGTCTAGGAGTCTAGTACCAGGAGTCTAGAGCTGTCGAAGCTGCTGGGACTCCCAGCAGCTTCTACTGAAGCCTTCCGAGTAAATTGCCAGAACGTCAACACCTCCTCATCTCCACCGCTCCCATGTTTTATTTTGTGTTGCCATAAGTTAGTCTCTCTGCGTTTGTGCGCTGGGCGAATGCTAATGCTAATAATGCTAATGCGAGGATAATAAAATGGCGGGTCTACAAAACATTTCAGAGTTTTACGGGGCGTGGTTTGCAATTCGCCCAGCCAATCAGAACTGGGGCACTTTTTTCCCCCAGGAAAGTACCACCTCTCAGCAGGCACTAAAAATAAGGGGTACTAACGGAACTAAACGCGAAAAGTACGGGGAAAAGTACTCCGGTGTGAACGCGGCTTAGGAGTCTAGTACCAGGAGTCTAGGAGTCTAGCACCAGGAGTCTAGCACCAGGAGTCTAGTACCAGGAGTCTAGCACCAGGAGTCTAGTACCAGGAGTCTAGTACCAGGAGTCTAGTACCAGGAGTCTAGCACCAGGAGTCTAGCACCAGGAGCAGTGGGCAGCTATTGTACAGCGCCCGGGGAGCAATGGGAGTGAAGGGGGAAGGGGGTTGTCCGGTGCCTTGCTCAAGGGCACCACGGCAGGGCAGGAGGTGAACTGGGACCTCTCCAAGTAGAAGTCCACACTCCATATTTTAAGTCTGTTCGGAGACTTGAACCGGCGACCCTACGGCTCCCAGTCCAAGCCCCTACTGACTGAGCCACTGCCGGACATAGTGGCAGATATGTGATTGCACCTGTTATTATTGCACATAGTGGTGTTGTGGCACTTTATTTACAGACATGATGAGGTTAAAGCAGAACAACACATAAACATGTTTGCCCCAGAGAGGATAAAACGTGAATGACTTTGGTTTCATTTCTACAGATCTTTCCCTGTCGACATGAAAATGTATTTGATTGTTTGATTTTATATTTTGGGATGTTTATATTTTATGTTTATGTGCCTTGTTTTAACACGCTTCTGTTTTTGTATATTTTGTATATTTCTGGTACTTTAATATTCATTTACGACATTAATTAGTTTTCACATACAAAGGCCCCAATAAGGCTGTCAGTTCTGCACATATTTTATTTCTATGGCTAGAGTTCAACCATATTCAATGTAAATATTGCTATATTTTTTTATGTTATTATAGTTTTCGTGCATGTTTATGTATTTGTCCCAAAAACACGGAGACAAATTCCTCGTCTGTGTTAAGCTACTTGGTCACAAACCTATTTGAATGTTCTATCGATGGGAAGTCTCCTGCATTAAGCAGACTTCCACCATGTTCGCTTTATTAAAAACAATCCAGAATTGGGATCAAGAAAGTAAATCTTATCTTTTCTTAATTTCTTCCCCCAGCTCCCTAAAAGCTCCCTCAGCCCCAGTGCATTCTGGGAGTGGGCGGAGGCTGCGGTGCTGGATGAAGCTCGGAAACTGGAGACTTTGTGCCGGAGCGTCGAGGAGACCCTGAACGCACCGTCCAGCCAGGTGAGTTCAGGTGAAACAGAAAGTGTGTCACGATTGGTCCGTTTCAGAATAATATATATGATATGTTTTATAATGATTGATCATGAAAGTGTTCTCAAAGCTGGTAAAGGTGCAGCTAGTTTGAATGACTTTGTATACTGCAGGGTAGCTTGTGGATTTACTCCAGGTGGAACTAAAGTCTGATTTAACACTTGATTATATTTCACATCATTCATCCACATCTGTGAAGTAACTAAAGGTATTAAAGTAGGGCTGTCAAGTTAACGCGTTAATAACGCGTTAACGCAAAAAAAAAATTAACGCCACTAATTATTTTAACGCGATTAACGCATGTGTATTTTTTGTCCTCGGCCGCCGTAGTTTCAGAGCGCATCGAGTGTAAAATACCATCTACAAGCTGATGCTGACAGTCCCGCTCCTGCCGCCCGCTTGTGGCAGACCACACTTCCACGCTCACTGGCAGGCCCAGACTGGCCATCGGGAGGACCGGGAGGGAGTGTGTATGTGTGGCGCGACTCGCGCGAGCGAGGCACACCTTACGTGTTGTTGTTAGCATCTGGTGCTAGCTAGCTGCGCTAACGGATATAAGGAGCTGTTTCAATGACATTTCGCCGACAACTGCGCCGAGCACTTGACTTTATGCAGGTAGCCAGACAGTGGGACATTGTACGAAAAGTCAGCACACTCAGCACGGATAGTACGCGCAACATTATTGCAGCGTCCAGGCAGCTCCCATTCGAGCATATATGCCTTGAGCAGCGGCACATAGCTCCAACGATCCATCAGTGTCTCCACACACACACACACACACACACACACACACACACACACACACACACACACACACACACACACACACACACACAGTATTATTGTATGAGAGAGGTTCCAGGTTGAATTGAGGCGAATATTTGTAATGTTCAGGTTGTTGTGTTTAATATTCATGAGAATATTTGTCATTGTTCAAATGATAATAAACAAACATATAAAGCATATTTGTCCACTCATATGTTGATAAGAGTATTAAAAACTTGAAAGATATCCCTCTAAGGTACATTTAGAACAGATAAAAAATGTGCGATTAATTTGCGATTAATCGCGATTAACTATTTTAATCGACTGACAGCCCTATATTAAATACATGTAGTGGAGGAGAAGTACACCATTTACCTCTGAACTGGAGTGGAGTAGAAGTACTAAGTAGCATAAAATGGCAATACTCAAGTACAAGTATCTCAAAATGTAAGTACAGCACTTGAGTAAATGTACTTAGTTACTTTACACCTCTGAGCATTTTCAGGTAGAAACGATTTACTTTCTACCTGCGTAAAAGAAAGCGTTTTTTACTCATGGACTAGAGCAGGGGTCGGCAAGTAAGTTTCGCCTTGGGCCAATTCTTTTCTGAGCCACTAGATGGCGGGCCGGAACATAATCAAAGGCTTATTTAAGTAATTAATTGTTAAAACATGTGACACGTTCGAATGCTTGGGGGGGTCATTGTAGACCGAATGCTTCTCGTTTTGCGCCGTCCCGTTCAAATGACAATCACATTTCCACGCTCGCGCCAGGGCCGGGGGAGGGGTTGCAAGGCTCCATGATCAAGCGGCTTCTCCCATTTAGTTGTCAATGTTTTGACTGAACTTTGTTACTGTTCACATATAAGTAAACATTACGTTTGAATGATTTAGTGAGCTGGTGTTTTTTTTTCAAACCACAAACCGCATGTTGGCTATTTCAGCACCACGCGCTGTCCACTTACTTATTGATCCACTATCAGCGTCAGTGCACCCCGCTGCCAGATTGTGCCTGTGCTGTGTGTCATTCACTCTCAACATGGATAAAAGTACAATAAGCATTCTTCAGGTGTAGGTAGATTCTCTATTCGGACATTATAGCCTATATGTGCGACTGTCGGTCCGATATTGTAAAAAGAAAATTAAAAAAATCTAAAAATAATCTTTTATTTTTATTCTCAAAATTATTTTCCGGGCCAAATATTATTGCTGGCGGGCCACCAGTGGCCTATTGCCGACCCATGGACTAGAGGCTGTAGTTAGGTCGAGAGAAAGTAGTTCCTGCATTAAACTGCTAACACCAGGCACTCTTTAAAGACACATTAATGCAGAATTTCAATCGTTCTTTTTAGCTCCACAAGCCGAGTTCAATCTACTTCCATTAAGAGAAGGCAGACCTCTCTACAGCTGATATCCCAACATCTGGTGACTCAAACATTCTGGGTCACATTCCTGAAAACCTGCCAGGCAGCTTGAGCTTCTGCACAGTCACCTAATGATTTATAATTATTCATAAAGCAGATCGTACCGTTCTCTGACGGTGAAACCGCTCGTCACTGTCAGACCTGTTATTGTTGTCCAGGAGGAAGAATGTGCCGAGTCATCGCAGAGACTCAGACCTGTGTTTACGTGACGCGTGTTACTATTCTCCTGATGTGTGAGACGTGTTCAGGGAGGCCTTTACTAAAACATCACTCGTGATTTATATCAGGAATTTGTTCCTTTGTATTCATAGAAGTACATCTACTCAAGTACTCTACTTTAAAAGAGTCCTCTCGTGCTGATGTTCAGGTGTATATCAGTATGTAGTGTCTCTACTTTAAAGAGTCCTCTCCTGCTGATGTTCAGGTGTATATCAGTATGTAGTGTCTCTACTTTAAAGAGTCCTCTCCTGCTGATGTTCAGGTGTATATCAGTATGTAGTGTCTCTACTTTAAAGAGTCCTCTCGTGCTGATGTTCAGGTGTATATCAGTATGTAGTGTCTCTACTTTAAAGAGTCCTCTCCTGCTGATGTTCAGGTGTATATCAGTATGTAGTGTCTCTACTTTAAAGAGTCCTCTCCTGCTGATGTTCAGGTGTATATCAGTATGTAGTGTCTCTACTTTAAAGAGTCCTCTCGTGCTGATGTTCAGGTGTATATCAGTATGTAGTGTCACTACTTTAAAGAGTCCTCTCCTGCTGATGTTCAGGTGTATATCAGTATGTAGTGTCCTCTACTTTAAAGAGTCCTCTCCTGCTGATGTTCAGGTGTATATCAGTATGTAGTGTCTCTACTTTAAAGAGTCCTCTCCTGCTGATGTTCAGGTGTATATCAGTATGTAGTGTCTCTACTTTAAAGAGTCCTCTCCTGCTGATGTTCAGGTGTATATCAGTATGTAGTGTCTCTACTTTAAAGAGTCCTCTCCTGCTGATGTTCAGGTGTATATCAGTATATAGTGTCTCTACTTTAAAGAGTCCTCTCCTGCTGATGTTCAGGTGTATATCAGTATGTAGTGTCTCTACTTTAAAGAGTCCTCTCCTGCTGATGTTCAGGTGTATATCAGTATATAGTGTCTCTACTTTAAAGAGTCCTCTCCTGCTGATATTCAGGTGTATATCAGTATGTAGTGTCTCTACTTTAAAGAGTCCTCTCCTGCTGATGTTCAGGTGTATATCAGTATGTAGTGTCTCTACTTTAAAGAGTCCTCTCCTGCTGATGTTCAGGTGTATATCAGTATGTAGTGTCTCTACTTTAAAGAGTCCTCTCCTGCTGATGTTCAGGTGTATATCAGTATGTAGTGTCTCTACTTTAAAGAGTCCTCTCCTGCTGATGTTCAGGTGTATATCAGTATGTAGTGTCTCTACTTTAAAGAGTCCTCTCCTGCTGATATTCAGGTGTACATCAGTATGTAGTGTCTCTACTTTAAAGAGTCCTCTCCTGCTGATGTTCAGGTGTATCTTATCGTATCTTATCTCCATGTTTCAGCCGCTGAGCCCCTCCTCTCAGCAGCGCCTCCAGCAGCTGACGGAGAGGCACGGCTCGGAGAAGATCTTCCAGGTGTCGGTGTGTGTGGTGGGCGGCAGAGACCTGGACCTGAGCCTGGCCCGAGGAGAGCTGGTGGGAGTCATCAGCTGGGCCGACACCAGGGGGGACAAACGCAGGTGGCTGGTGGACGCTGGAGGTGAGAGGGGGATGCAAACTGCAATATTATCTGTATTTAATCTTAATGTCACACATGTTTAAGTATCTTTAATGACAGATGCTGCTGTTGGAAATACTGTCAATGCATCTTTCTGAAATGTAGCTATTTGGTGCCATCTTGTGGGCGTGTGGTGGTACTGCAGGTAACCATAAATCACACACAGGTGCAACAGAAGCACACACTGTCACACACACACACACTGGAGGTGAGAGGAAACTAAATGCTGCTGCTGGGTTTTAATATTATCTGTATTTTGTCTTAATATCACCAGAGATGGCAAAAGTACACACATCCTTTACTCAAGTAGAAGTACAGATACTCGTGTTTAAAAATACTCTGGTGAAAGTAGAAGTACTGACTAAACTTCTTTACTCAAGTAAAAGTAAAGAGGGCTTTGAAATGTACTTCAGTAAAAAGTACCCATAACTAGCAGCTGTTTTAAAGAGTGCCTGACCTCCCTTTATATGAATAGAACAATAATGTCATTGTTAGCTAATGAATGTTTCGATGCTGAACACTAAAATAAGTAGTGGAGTAAAGTACTGATACCAGAAAGATGTACTTAAGTACAGTAAGGAAGTATTTGTACTCCACTACTTCCCACCTCTGATTATCACACATGTTTAGCAGCTTTAAGGACAGATGCTGCCGTAGTAGAAGATACTGTAGTTTACTGTCAGAGCAGCTTTCTGGAATGTAGCTATTTGGCGCCATCTCGTGGGCGTTTGGTGGTACTGCAAGTAACCATCAGAATCAGAAGTTTATTGCTAAAAAAGGATAATAAAAAATAATTATTTTAAGAAACAATTTAGCATTAAAAAAGGATGCTAAAGACGAGTGTTTACACCAAATGGAACTATACAAATAACCTTAAAAGCTAAAAAACAAAAACACTTAGGACAATGAGTATATGGATAACTACAGTGACTGCTTTTTGCTCCACTTTAAAATACAGAGAGTTGAGCATGGCTCACAGCATCAGCCTGCTGCGCTGTCTGTCGCCCTAACCCTCTCGCTCGTTCACATTTAACTCCCTTTTAATGTTATATATTTGCACAGGGAGTGTAGAATCAAACCTATTTCACACGAACAACCAAAACCCATTCAGAAAACCATTGACTTCCAGCCCAGGGGACAGGAAGTGATACAAATGCTGACTCATTCCTGCTGTTTTAGGACTCATTCCCTGTTGATTTTGATGTTGTCTGCAGGTAGACGAGGGTACGCTCCTTCCTCGAAGCTGATTCGCTACCACCAGGCGTCAGAGGCCCCGCCCCCTTCTCCACACCTGACCCTACCTGACGGGGGGGCAATCAGACGACACTCCTACACCCCCGAGAGCCAAAGGCTGACCGTGCACAGCTTCCAGGTGTGTGTGTGTGTGTGTGTGTTTCCTTAATTACACTTCACACACTCGATGTATCTGTTTTAGCAATTTGGAGTGTCACTAGTTCACACTACCACGTGTCTAAATCCATAATAATGCATCATAATTATTAAACATAATATGAATCTGCAAATTAACTAATGTTTTGGTATAAAAAGTGAAAAAGAAGTTGCATAAAATGTAAATAACAATTACACTTAAAGGGGACCTATCATGCAAAATGCACTTTTGTACGTCTTTTCTACATGAATATGTGTCCCCGGTGTTCCAGGGAACTCACCAAGTGTCAGAAAACACAACCCTCTCTATTTTCCTCCATACCCAAATCTCTAAAAAAGGGGCTGCAACGGATCTGATAAAAACTGATCCAGATTTGAACACTGTCCTGACGTCAGGACGGTGGCGCTACGGCTATTGGGCCAACTCCACCAATCAGGAGGAGACAGCCACGGCCATTGCCGTTCGAAAGCGCTGGAGACGCTGTAGTACATATGACAGGCCTGTAGATGGTGCTGTTCTCACTGAATCTGCCCTTGCTAAAACAGAGCTAAAAAATGTCAAATTGAGCGAAATGAGGCATGGCTAAAATGCATGATCTGTTTGGTATTTTGAAAAACAAAAAGTATAAATATGCCTTATATAGGTATGGTCCTACACTATATTATTCAAATATAGCATGATAGGTCCACTTTAAGTTCCTCTAAAATCGTACTGATAGTCCTAGAGTAGTGCACTTCAGTGACTATCCAATTAACCAATGAACTTCCACTATAACGAGCAGTGTGTGTGTGTGTGTGTGTGTTTCCTTAATTACATGTGTCTGAAGCTTTTATTGATTGATTGGACGGCGTTCTGCTGAGTAGGCAACACTTTGTCACCTGTCTGACTGTGTGTGTGTGTGTACGTGTGCGTGTGCGTGTGTGTGCATATGTTATTAATGGAAATGTGTATAATTGGCAGTTTAACCTTGTAAGTGGGTTACTGTGTGAAAGGTTGAGAGTTAATTTATGCAGCATGCAGGCTGAGATTGTGTGTGTGAGTGTGAGCTAGTTGTATGTGTGTGAGAGTTATAGGGGAATGGTGTGGGTAGTGTGTGACGATTTATCTGTGTGTGTACATGGGAGAGAGAGATTTAGGCGAGGGGTTGATAAAGCGTTAAATGTGTTCGGTGTGGGTGTGTGTGGGTGTGGGTGTGTGTGGGTGTGTCTGCACGCTGCCTGTTAAAGTGAGTGATTGCTTGAGTGACCTTTATAGAGGCGTCTTTCATGCCCCCCCCCATGTCCATAACACATGACCCTGAGACTGCTCTCACACACACACACACACACACACACACACACACACACACACACACACACACACCCCGATACATACTTCAGGCATATATCAGTATTTAGTGTCTCTACTGTGACCCTGAACGTTGGGATTTGATCCTCTGCAGACCGTTCACATGCACTAAAACCTATATATCACACTAGAGGAGAGGGAGCACCACAAAAAGCAGAATAGGGTCTCTTTTTATTGTAGTATTTATTTCTATTTTGGCAACCACACACTCTTCAACTCGTTTACTTCCAGGAGACACAGCTGATGGTCGACGGTCATTTTAATTTGTTTGATTCTGTTTCTACTTTCTGCCCGGCAACGTGTGTGTGTGTGTGTGGTGTGTGTGTGTGGTGTGTGTGTGTGTGTGTGTGGTGTGTGTGTGTGGTGTGTGTGTGTGGTGTGTGTGTGGTGTGTGTGGTGTGTGGTGTGTGTGTGTGTGTGTGGTGTGTGTGTGTGTGTGTGTGTGTGTGTGTGTGTGTGTGTGTGTGTGTGTGTGTGTGTGTGTGTGTGTGTGTGTGTGTGTGGTGTGTGTGTGTGTGTGTGTGTGTGTGTGTGTGTGTGTGGTGTGGTGTGTGTGTGTGTGTGTGTGTGTGTGTGTGTGGTGTGTGTGTGTGTGTGTGTGTGTGGTGTGTGTGGTGGTGTGTGTGTGTGTGTGTGTGTGTGGTGTGTGTGTGTGTGTGTGTGTGTGTGTGGTTTTAGAGGATCATTTGGGAGTAATAGATTACAAGTTACAGGATAACGTACTCATGATACTAAACAAACTGTATTCACGTTAAGAAAATCTCTCTTCCTGTTCACTTCCTGGTTGTAAATCAGAGCTCGAGGTGAGGCTAGGAGGTCCGACCTGTAGACTAAAGTGTGATTTCAGGGCCCTTGTTGACCTTCTTCTGATGCCACGCTGCCAAATGTCACATTTCTCTTCTATTAACCAGTAAGGTCAGAATAAAGTGGTTTCCAGTTCCCTCTCAGCGCAGCGTCTCCCCCGGTGTGCATGAATGTCAGAATGTCTTTACACTTAATGTAAAACCTCGCAACTTCAGAAGTCCCAATGCAGGGTCTTGTTTTTGCATCTTAAGACTCTTGAAAACATCTTATTTTGAGTGGGGTCTCAGATGAAACGAGGCTGTTTAAGCTGCTGTGGTATTTGTAAAAGATGGATCCTCTTACTTGATTTTAGAAAACACTTTTTTACTGGAAAATCACCAGGAAACTGAAAACCTTTCAGCATTTCTGGCTTATTATTTTGTAACTCCTGATTCTGGTCAAATATAGTTCAACATAAGTTTACAAGATAATTACAAGATGTAATTTATCTACATATCCCTTCTTATCTCAGGAAGTCTAACCAAGGCAAGGCAAGGCAAGTTTATTTATATAGCACCTTTCAACACAAGGCAATTCAAAGTGCTTTACAAAAATGGAAGACATTATGAAAATGGCATTTAAAATCAGTCATTAAAAATAAAAGATAATAAAATAAACATTAAAAGAAAAAAAAGAAAAAAAATACATGGATAAAAGTTACAGTGCAGTTTAAGATGTGAATAGTTCAATTAAAAGCAGCGGCAAAAAGAAAAGTCTTCAGCCTGGATTTAAAAGTAGTAAGAGAGTAGTAACCAAGCAAACTGTCACTTGTTCTATTGGCAGGTTTTTGAATTTATTACAAGTAAAAACACCTTGTTTTCAACTTGTTTTTGGAGCAGCCTTTCCCAGTGTGAGTCATGTGTGATCCTGAAAATGTCAGAAATGGACTCGGCATCCTCAGTAAACCCCAAACCACTCCAAAACCGTCCAAACCTTGTTCTTAGATGATTGATTTAGGAGCAGCATTGTTTCCAGTGCATAGTCACTTCGCCTATATCTGGTGCAACTCAGATCTACATGATCACCTCACTCTATGAGCTTTATCGCTCTGAGGCGGGTGGATGGATCCTGAGATGTGTTGAAGTCGGCACTTATTTGATTTACTCATTTATTTAACAGGACAGCACATTAATCAGCATTTCTGTAAATGTGCCAAGAGGCTATTTTTCATCTGTAGTCCCTGCACAGATTTGGTAAATCACCCTAAAGACACATTTCACTTTAAACAAGTCACTCCGTAAGGGATGATGTGCAGCGAGGCGGTCGATCTGGGGAAAAGAACACCCGACAGGCAGATCAGCGAGAAGGGTCACATTATCCCGCTTATTACACGGCCACATTCTCAACAAAGTAACAACATGACTCCCAATATTAATTGAAATGTTTTTATTTATTTAAAAAATAGTACGCTATTATTTATTTAAAATGACAAGCATCCGCTGAGAAAAATAGTCCGTTGTTACCGTTTGAACTAACGTAGCAACGGCAGGAAGCGCTTCGATAGCGTTTTGATTACAGATTTGAAAACATCGCTGCTTGCTTTAAAAGTAGCACAATTCATTATGTCAAAGCTTGGGAAGTATCTAGATACCCCTGCCCTAATGCCAAAGGAACTGCACACTGAATATGTGTCCCCGTTTGATGTCTATGTCTGGACCGTTGCGTAAAAAGGAGGGTTTCTGCCCCGTTACTTCTCCACTGTTTTCTTGTCCCTCTTGTCTTTTCGGCCAAACTGTATACAGTTAAATCGACCGGACTTCTTTGTGCAGATGTGAGCGTCCTTAACAACGGTCAATAAATCCTTGACAGCGTTCTGTCTGTTCTGGATTAACAACGTGCCACGTGTTCTGAATTGACCAATCAGAATCGAGTATTCCACTAAACCATGTAAAAAAATCAAATAAAAACATGCAACATACAGTCCTGGAAATGTTAATTAAACAACCAAACGGAACAATAAAACTAAACTAAAAGAGCACAGACAGAGAGTTGTAAGGAGCAGAAGATTGTGTCGGTGTGTCTGAGCCGATTCCTCACTAACATTTAAACAAACTAAGTCTCTGGTTGGAGATGGGATTGAGATCTATTGCTGAGCAGCTTCATCAGAAGAGGAAGACTGACTGAAAGAACTGTTCCTGAGTGGAATAATGCGCTGACCTTCCATCTGATGCCACGCTGCCAAATGTCACGTCTTTCTGTTATTATACATTCTTTATTTAGAAGACAGTTGAGAACATTTCTCCAGTTACAATGAAATAGCCTTGCAGTTACAGGGAGGAGTAAACATTGAAACCCTCCCCTTCTCATTGTCTTGTTTTTGTAACCAGTAAGGTCACAAAACACCAGCATCGCCTCCAAATCAACGCTATTCAGTTTGCGGCCCGTGTGTTTATCGGTGTGTAAAGAGAACAACTGGAGAAGGCATTTTAAAACATCTCATACTGTGTGTCAGTTATCAGTTCATCAAATAAGGTTTGAGTTTTAAAAGGCTGTGTGTTGTGGTTTGATGAACTAGTGATTGTGTTATGTTCAATGTTTGATGTTTGTCTGTTGATGTTAAGGCCGCTACACACCAACCTGAGACCAAAGAACGCGTACCGAAGGTGTCCCGACTTTTACGTCCGCTACGTCGCCTGCGTCGGCTACGCCGCCTGCCTACGCCACCGCCTACGAACACACCGCAAAGACTTCAGTCGACGAGTGACAATAACTCTCCTTACCAGCAGGCGGCGGTAGTGTGTATTCGTCATTCAAAAGAGGCAACAACCGGAAGACAGACTGCGTGATACACCGAGAGAAGAAGAACAGACTGAGTGATATAAACAAACAACAAAGAGCGTGTGCGTTCCATGTTCACTCTACAGCCAGAAGCTCACGGGGCTTTCCCCAACCTGTGTCGAGAGCTGGAGTTAAATGAAATCTCACATTTGCCTTCTTAATAGTTTGCTTTGGGTCCCTCACTTCCGTTTCATCGGCAGCGGGAGGTGTGAAAAGGTGCCGTAAAGAGACGACGGTGCGGGACACACCAAGCTGAGTAGGGCGCCGCGAATGCCCGAATGCCCGACTGCCTCTGACTCCTAAAATGGGGTTGGTGTGTCCGGGGCTTTACACATGGAGCTGCTGTGCTGCAAGGAGCATTTCAGACCTGAACAATAGAGTGTGATCGTATTAGATAGCAGCTTCTACTCTCTGTTCTGAACATGGTGTAGTGGCCACAAACAGTTTCTCTTAGAACATATTTCAAATGTTCCTTTTCCTGGCCACATTGAGAGCTTGGGAAGCAGGGTCAGACTCGCAGTCAAAAATCCACTTTTTGAGTGCTCTCGTTTTATTTCCAGAAAACAAAATAGGAATCTCTTTGTAACGTAAACTTCAGATCCTTCAGATCCTAATAACTGTTTGACTGAGACTAAAGCTGCGTGTGAATGACGGTAGCGCTGCATCATGACTCTGGAAAGACCCACTAAGACCTCCCTTTCTTTCCGTCTTGTTTTTCTCCTCCAGGTTTTGGCGGCGTACAACTTCACGGCCAGAGGAAACCACGAGGTGTCGATGCGAGCCGGAGAGGCGGTTCGAGTCCTGGAGGCCAAGGACAAGCGGGGGAATCCTGAGTGGAGCCTGGTGGAGGCGGGAGGGGGAAAGAGAGGCTACGTCCCCTCCAACTATCTCACCATGATGCCTATAGGAGGGTCCGCTGGATCACACCCTCCGTTCTGAGGAGAGGAAACACTGGATTCTGTTTAAAGCCTTTCATTTTTAAAAAGGCAGCCATCAAACGCTCTGTTCCTGTCCTCTGTGGAACAGGGATGTACGCTAACAGCTGGGAAAACATTGACGTATGACAGAAGTGTGAGCTAACGTTCGCTTAGCATTAAACGCTTGCTTCCACTGCAGAAGCCCCGCCTCTCAATTCCTCCGATTGGACGATGGGAAACAACGGCAAAGATATGGGGAGATTTTTGTCTTTCCGTCTGATCAGACTCTTACAGCAGTATTTCTGTTATTAACCTGCTTCTCAAACATCAGCAAATCAGGGTTTTTAAAGCGACTTTGAGACATTGAATACAACAGTTTGACGCTCACAGTGTTCGAGCAAAAAGCCAAATCCTGCTGAAGTTCGTAGACTTTTGCTACGCCTACTTTACGTGCAAATATACATCATTACAAAGAAATTAAATGTCATTTCAGTTTCAAAACCCCTCATTACCCTGTACCCTTAGACTCTATTGGACTAAGGGCTTTTTTGGCTGTCATTAAGGCCATTTTTGCATTAAGTCCAAACATATATAGTTTGCTCCCTGAAGTTGAGAAATCAAACAAATGTGAGCTTTAAAAACACAGACGTCGGACTGTAACGTCACCCAAGCCTAAAACACAACGCGCTCAAGAAGACGTTAAGGTGTTCTGCTGCTGCAGATAGTGAAGGATTTATGTATAAACAGTGTTTTAATATCTAACTGCTACGCTGAGGAAATGAAGGAAGCTACTGATCCACAGAGAGGTGCAGGAATGAGTCCTCAAACCTGGAAATGAGTCAGCATTTTACCACTTTTGTGTTTTTGCTCATCAGCACTTTGTCAGAACAGATGATCTCTGAAGGACAATCGTTTTATATTACAAATCATCATCAGAGACAATCGGGGGAACAGTTTGTGAAGGGTCGTGTGTGTGTGTGTGTGTGTGTGTGTGTGTGTGTGTGTGTGTGTGTGTGTGTGTGTGTGTGTTGTGGTGTGTGTGTGTGTGGTGTGTGTTGTGTGTGGTGTGTGTGTGTGTGTGTGTGTGTGTGTGTGTGTGTGTGTGTGTGTGTGTGTGTGTGTGTGTGTGTGTGTGTGTGTGTGTGTGTGTGTGGGTGTGTGTGTGTGTGTGTGTGTGTGTGGTGTGTGTGTGTGTGTGTGTGTGTGTGTGTGTGACTGTGTGTGACTGTGTGTGACTGTGTGTGTGTGTATTGAGACTGACAGGTACACGGTGCTCTCATCATCTCAGACTGTGTAATGTGATGTAAATGTGAAATGTCTCGGGGGGGGGGGGGAAGAGGAGGAGGAGGAGGAGGAAGATGAGATGAGAAACACAGGAAGGATTTCACACAGAAGAGGAAGAGTTAGACGGGAAATCAGAAAATGATGTGACAGCAGACTGAGTTTAAAAAAACGCTTAAAACTAAAAAGTTTCTCTGCCACACAACAGAGTTAGACTGGGCTCTGGTTTCAGACAGAGGGTGATTGAGTCCCTTTTTATAGTCAGCTGTTGTTAGAAGCAACCAGTGTCAAAATAAAATATCACCTGCTGTCAGAGAAGGGATTTTAGACATTTGAATTGAAATGGTATAATTGTCCGACATCACAGTGTCCTCCTCCTGACGGCGAGTGACATTCCTGAAAGCCTCGTGTTTTGCATAAAATGTAGTGTTTTCTCAGAGTAGTGCGGTGTCAGCTGTGAGGAGGTGCCGCCGCTCAGCTGGAGATCAGCTGTTCTCCTCTGAATGTCAGGAAGCAGCAAACAGTGGGGGGGAAAGTGTGTGTGTGTGTGTGAGACACTAAAATACCAAATGTCCTCAAGGTTATTGTAAAAGAAGTAAAGAATCTCCTCCAACATGGAAACCTTATTTCACCTCTTATTTAAGGCTGAAAGGAGCAGTATTAATAGTGATTTAAATGGCTTTCAGATGCATTGATTACACTGTTAGGTATTTATTTTAAACTCCAATTAAGGCAAACTGCTATTGGTCACGTTACCTGGATTTTTGCATCAATTTTAGAGTATTTTCCGATTCCCTAAGACAAACAATACTTTACATTTTTCTACTTTCCAGAGAAAAATTAACCATCAAGTATTTTGCCATTTAAAATCTTCCTTTTTGAACAGGAACCTGGTCATATTTAGCCTGTTCTGATTGGTCAGGGTGCCACATTCTCCCTCCAGGCGTGGTGATGTTCTGCAGGAATGTGTGTGTGTGAAAGTGTGTGTGCAGAAACATTATTTTGCTCTCCACCACTAGAGGGAGTAGTAGACCTTGGATGTTTATTATTATTCACTGTCAAACTGGTGTGTGTGTGTGTGTGTGTGTGTGTGTGTGTGTGTGTGTGTGTGTGTGTGTGTGTGTGTGTGTGTGTGTGTGTGTGTGTGTGTGTGTGTGTGTGTGTGTGTGTGTGTGTGTGTGTGTGTGTGTGTGTGTGTGGTGTGTGTGTGTGTGTGTGTGTGTGTGTGTGTGTGTGTGTGTGTGTGTGTGTGTGTGTGTGTGTGTGTGTGTGTGTGTGTGTGTGTGTGTGTGTGTGTGTGTGTGTGTGTGTGTGTGTGTGTGTGTGTGTGTGTGTGTGTCCTCCTTACCTTCTCAGTATTAAAGCCTGAGCATAATCCTGTACATATTGTTTGCAATTTTCTAAAGATGTTATTAACAAAAATGTGATATAGTGTGTACATCAGTGTCTGTGTGGCAGTGTGTACAGCAGTGTGTGTGTACAGCAGTGTGTGTGTACAGCAGTGTGTGTGTACATCAGTGTGTGTTGATAATGTATTGTTTTGTAACCGTGTGTGTTTGAAGCTTTAACTTATTTGACGCCAGCTGACCTGAGATGAATCATGATGTCTATTGAAGTGTTGCCAAAGTTATAATGATGTTAAACACACACACACACACACACACACACACACACACACACACACACAGACGGGAGTGTCAGCAGGACGGCTGCATGTGAACTGACTTCAATAAAATTAAATGTAACCTGTTCAGTGTATTCGTGTCACCTTGCATTAATACACACACACACACACACACACATTCATATGCTGAGCGTTGTTCAGCTGTGTTCCTGTTTGGGTTCACCTGCTCGGTGAATGTTAAAGTGGACCTATCATGCTATATTATAATAATATAGTGTAGGACCATACCTATATAAGGCATATTTATACTTTTTTTTTTTCAAAATACCAAACAGATCATGCATTTTAGCCATGCCTCATTTCGCTCTATTTGAAATTGTTTAGCTCTGTTTTTGCAAGGGTTGATTCTGTGAGAACAGCACCATCTACAGGCCTGGCATATGTACTACAGCGTCTCCAGCGCTTTCGAACGGCAATGGCCGTGGCTGTCTCCTCCTGATTGGTGGAGTTGGCCCAATAGCCGTAGCGCCACCGTCCTGACGTCAGGACAGTGTTCAAATCTGGATCAGTTTTTATCAGATCCGTTGCAGCCCCTTTTTTAGAGATTTGGGTATGGAGGAAAATAGAGAGGGTTGTGTTTTCTGACACTTGGTGAGTTCCCTGGAACACCGGGGACACATATTCATGTAGAAAAGACGTACAAAAGTGCATTTTGCATGATAGGTCCCCTTTAAACAGCTCCAGGTTTACAGAGAAACAGAACAAGAGGAAAACACTTCATGTTCCCACAAACTGTGTTTTGATTGGCTTTTGTTCTCTAAGCTGTCTTTAAATAGCAAGCATCCAGCTACAGGTGGCATTATGGGATGTGTTTGTGCCATAAGCATTAGTTTTGTTCACTTTTAGGCTCATTTGAGTTGTTGTTAAAATTCCCATTTATGAAAAAACAAACATAGAAGCTGATTTAAAACTGATGCACACGTCCAGGTAATGCCACCACTATTGACGCATTTTAGCATTTATTCCACTGTGTGGTAATTGGTGACACTACCTGGATGTTTGCATCACTTTGAAACTGTTTCATATTATTTACTAACTCCAAAGACCAAAATAACTGCAATTTTTAATCGATTTAAAAGTGTTTTTTTTAACTCCCAGGAAAACAAAACTTCTCAAACTAGCAGAAAGCTGCAGGTCCGCTGCTGCTGATGGAGAGAAAACACAGAAGACCCAAACTAATTAAATGAAAACACTAACATGAGGGAGAAGCTGAGTCAGCAGTTTGTCTGTGAGCTGATTCGCTGTTTCATTTTAAAAACACGAGCTCCAGGAGTTTCTGACAAAAACACTGATTGTGTTTCAGATGAGAAACCAACCGACCAAGTGATGCAGGTTCCTCTGTTATTTACTGGAGGATAGAAAGTGTTGCATGTTCTTACCCAAACCTCCCAGGTGATGCAAGTTACAATATCAGGTGTAAACAATGAGCACAAAGCCTCCTCTTCTTTAAAAAAAAGAAGTATTTATTTGCATTTATTTATTTGCATTTTAAGAAATGATTGACAAAGCATACATAACAAAGTAAACACATATAGATACATAAATGAACTACATCACAGTTGACAAATCCAGAATGAAATAATAATAGTAATAATAATAATACAAATAAAAGGATGCAATATTAATACTCAGGGACACAACAATTCTTACCTCATTATACATCTTCATTATAGTGTTCTATACTTTACCCATTTGTTTAACCAGCCTCTCCTCTTCTACGGTAATATCGACTGTATTATTACACGGCTTGGTTGAATACTCTATTCTGATTGGTCAATTTGGACATTCCAGAGGTCTGTTATTTTTCGCTAGCAGACCGTTGCTAAGAAGAACAGACCGTTGTTAAGGAGAAGATAACGTTGTTAAGGAGAACATACCGTTAAGATAACGTTAAGGAGAACAGACGTCGCTAAGGAGAACAGACCGTCGCTAAGGAGAACAGACCGTCGCTAAGGAGAACAGACCGTCGCTAAGGAGAACAGACCGTCGTTAAGGAGAACAGTTCGTTGTCAAGGAGAAAATACCGTTGCTAAGGAGAACAGACCGTTGTTAAGATAACGTTAAGGAGAACAGACCGTTGCTAAGGAGAACAGACCGTCGCTAAGGGGAACAGACCGTCGCTAAGGAAAACAGTCCGTTGTCAAGGAGAAAAGACCGTTAAGGAGAACATACCGTTGTTAAGGAGAAAAGACCGTTGCTAAGGAGAACAGACCGATGTTAAGGGGAACAGACCGTTGCTAATGAACGACGCTCTGATCAATGGATTCTGATTGGTCTGTTTGGACATTCCAGAGGTCTGTTATTTTTCGCCAACAGAACGTTGCTAAGGAGAACAGACCGTTGCTAAGGAGAACACACCGTTGCTAAGGAAGGACGCTCTGATCGAGGGACTATGTGCGATAATATTTTTTTTTTAAATACAACAATTAAAATAAATATTGTGAGTGGTCGGATCTTAACAAATACTACGTAACAAAATGTTGGCTTTTATCCTCGCTGCATGAAGCTAACGCCGCTACATGCTAACGCCACAGCTGTGTGTTGGCTGTATTTTGTCCTGTGTGTTTGGGCTGGAGCTGCCTGTGGAGTGTGAGCCGATGAGTGTGTGTGTGTGTGTCTCCATTGGGGGCATTAGAGCACTGGAGTGTGAACTGGAGAACGGGTTCAGGGGCTTTTAGAGCGGCACTTAGCGAACAAACGCTAACTGTGAGTTTGTGTTGAAGCTCTGCCAACACGCTCCACACACACACACACACACACACACACACACACACACCCACACACACACACATGAATATCTTATGTCAGCCTATGAATATCTTCGAGAAGCAAGCGTTGACTTCCCGTTCACATCTTCCCTCAACATACGTGTCCATTCAAGCATGTGTGTTCACTTCTAAAGGCATGGATAGTGTGTGTGTGAATGTCTGTGTGTGTGTGTCCATTAATGCATACGTCAGCAAACCTATTTTCAGTTTAATGCAGAGGAAATGCTTCAGGCGTCTGTTACCCTCTGCACGACTACTTGTGTGTGTGTGTGTGTGTGTGTGTGTGTGTGTGTGTGTGT